ATCAGATTTTCAAGACAAAACAAAACAAAATGAAAAAGAAAACCAGCAACAACAACAATTAAAAAAAAGCAAAACAAAAATCACTTTTGTGGTCAGGGGAGACAGGCAGCCGAGCTGGTACAGAACCAGCTGGATAAGCACGAGGACTTGAGCTCAAAGCCCAGAATCTACTTCAGGAACAGCTGTGGTGGTGCCTGCTGCAGGTGGATCCAGCCTGCCTGACCTAACCAGTGAGCCCCAGGTCTTCCAAAAACAAGGGACAACTCCTAAGAACATTACACGCTGACCTCTGGCCTCCACACATGAACACACACACACCACACAATGCAACAATCACTTTTCATTTCAATCTATTGCACATATCTTTCTCCTAGAAAAAAGTGTCTATGCAGTCATCTATTGTTTGCGGGGATAGGCTCCCAAGTAGCCCAAGGTGGCCTTGACCTTGCAACGTAGCCAAGGCTGCACTTGGGCTCCTGATCTGCCTCTTTCCCACGGGCTGGGTTACAATTAGCATGTCACCACACCCGGCTCTGCAAGGCTGTATTACTTGTGATTTTAATTTGAGACTTGAAAAGGGAGGCATCCCCCAACAGTAGCAGAAAAGGAACAAAGGTTCGAGGTGGCTAGAAGCCACTGTTCCTCCACAAGATCTTTCATCAGTGGACTAACCTTCAAGTGAAATACAGCGTGAGAGGATGTGATAAAGACAACTGTGTGCCTGCAGGCTTACCACCTGTTCAGAGTGTGAAAAAAATCAGGCAACGAGAGAAACCTGACAGTAGTCAGAATGTAAGCAACAACTGCAAGTGACTGGTGGGCCTGCCGTGAAAACCGCTTACCTGTGCACAAACCTGATGCATGACATGACCGAACTCATGGAAGAAAGTCCGCACCTCATCGTGTCTCAGGAGAGACGGCCTGCCTGCGACGGGCTGTGAGAAGTTGACCACCAGGGCAGCCACAGACATCATCCGGCTGCCATCAGGGAGAAGGCAGCCTGGCTGGAGACCAAAGCAGGCTGCATGGTTGTATTTTCCTTCCCTGAGAGACAGAAACGAAGAAAGTGACGTGGACACTCTTCTTTAGCACAAACATGCCCCTTCCAGGCATTAAGTCATACACCAGAACACATGTATATATGTTTGGTTCACCTTTTAGAAGACAGGCCGCTTCGCCCTATGGGAGAAGTAAAATTAAACAGTGACCCAGCCTTCTAGGTTTTGTCAGTCTTAGCTTTATCTTTAAATCTGTATATGTGTTTTTTTCCTGTATCAGTGTTTCTGTTGGCCCCTGTATCACTCCCCCACCGATGCTTTTCAAAGAAAGGAGAAAATTTTGGCAACTATTTGGATGCATAACATTGGGCAAGGGACTTCTCCTGTCTTGACAGTTTCAGCTTTTCTGAAGCCAGAGAACTGCTGTGGAAGGCAGTCAACAAGCCCACAGCAGCACAGGTACCTCCAAGGAGAGGGGAGAAGGACCCCACAACCCCCACAACCTAAGTCAGGGCAGACACTGGACAGCAAACTGTTAAATGCCAGTGCTGGAGTAGTCCCAGTGTTGGATCCCCTGGGACTGGAGGTATTGATGGCTGTGAGCAGTCAAGTGGGAGGGAATTGAGCCTAGGTCCTCTGTAAGAGCAGCTAGTGCTCCTAACTGCTGAACATCTCTCCGCCCCGTGCTTTTTCTTTGTAAAAATAAAAACGAGGAAACCCAGCACCCAGGAGGCAAAGGCATGAGGATCTCTGTGAGTTTCAGAACAGCCTGGTTTACATAGCTAGTATCAGGACAGAGAAACCCTGTCTTGAAACAACCCCCAAACAAAACAAAACAAACAAAAAAACAAAACTCAATTTAGTTCATTTAAAAATTACTTTTATTCTAAGAGTATGGCCTTTCATGTTATGTTTCTAAAGTGATAGAGATTAAAAGTCATAAGATTTTGTTTGAGAATCTCAGTGTTTGATAATAAAAATAAAATGTGATTAAAAAAGAAAAACATGCTGGGTGGGGGTGGCGCACGCCTTTAATCCCAGCATTCAGGAGGCAGAGGCAGGCGGATCTCTGTGAGTTTGAGGCCAGACTGGTCTACAAGAGCTAGTGCCAGGACAGGCTCCAAAGCTACAGAGAAACCTCATTTCAAAAAACAAAACAAAACAAGCAAACAAACAAAACTCAAAAACAAAAAAACAAAAAGAAAGAAAAAACCCACAAGTCTTTAAAGAATGTACTCTCAAATTTGCTCCTGAGTCAGACAGATAAGAGTGGAGCGTGAATTAATAATAAAAATCCAGAGTCACTGAAAACTGAGCTTCTGTCTCCACCCGCCACATCACTTCCTGTTTCCACCTCCCTAGTGCTGGGATTAAAGGTGTGTGCCACCACTGCCTGGCCTGGATGGCTGACTAAGTGTCTAGCTCCGCACTCTGATCTTTATGTGCTAGATCACAAACATAATATAACCACATATGAGGTAGGTCATTATCCTCACAAAAGGTTACTCTGTGCTCTCCCTAAGTTTCTGGTAGCAATGGCCACATCTCTGAATATCAAACAAAGCAAACGTATGGCTGAAACACAAGGATGGGAGGACTCTGTCCTTCGGATGCGAGTTTTGAGACAGGCATAGGACACTGCAATGTTGAAAGATTTCCTGCTTGAAATCTTTGTGTGTGTGTACACGTCCACATGCATAGCTCCTGTGTGAGGCCAGATAACTCGCAGGCGTCAGTCTTTTCCTGCCACCTTGCGGGACCCTGGGGTCAAATTCAGGCTGTCAGGCTGCAGTGTAAGCACTTTTACCCACTAATCTATCTTGTTGGCCCAAAGGATTACCCTCTTGGGTATTCGAATAAAACTGTATCTAGCACTTGTGTATGTGTGCATGTTGTATGTGCATGTGTGTATATATGTGCAGGTGTATGTGCATGCTCCAGATGTGTGTGGAGGTCAGAGGGCAGCTTGTAACCCTCTAGTAGAAGAATAGCTCCTTCTACTATGGCTTCTGGGAATCAATCTCATGTTGTCAGCCTTGGGGACAGCCGCCTTTACCCACTGCACCATCACTGGCCCTCCTGATGCTTTCTCTAAGAGCCTCGGGATAACCTAAGTGCTGAAGGACACCTGTGCCGCCAGATGGACCACAACTTAGCCTCGTCCTGAGCATCCAGTGTTGATTTTATTGCTTAATGAATAAAGAAACTGCTTTGGCCTAGTTGATAGGGTGGAACTTAGGTAGGCAGGGAAAACAGAACTGAAAGCTGGAAGGAAGAAGGGAGAGTCAGAGATGCCATGGATCCTCCACCTGAGACGGATGCTGGTTAGAATCTTGCCGGTAAGCCACAGTTACATGGCGATACACAGATTAATAGACATGGGTTAAATTAAGATATAAGAATTAGTCAATAAGAAACTAGAGCTAATGGGCCAAGCAGTGTTTTAATGAATACAATTTCTGTGTGATTATTTTGGGTGTAAGCTAGCCAGACGGCCAGGACAAACAAAGGGACCCTCTCCTTACAACAATCCAGGGTTATTGAGTTACTCACCCACACTTTGTTGAAGCAGGAGTCCCATAATTCTCCTTAGTTTATTTAGTAAAATGGGTTAGTTATTGCAAAAAGTTGGGTTTGTATTAGAAAGTAGTCTAAGGAGAAAAAGATCTGAATCTTCTGTGTCTGATGAAACATGTGGAGTTTATAGTTACCCACTTCAAACAATATTTGAAATTTTATTCCTGATTAAATAGTTGGAAATGTGCATATATAATGCTTAGTGCATAAACAGTCCGGTTAAGGGCCCTGAAGAATGAACATTTCAAGGAGGGCATGTCGGTCAAGTGTTCGGACTCCTTAGATTAACAGCAAGGGTTTCGTTATTCTACTACCCTGTGCTGCTCTTGGAGAGACTGAGGAGGACTTGAGAGGACTGGCAGATTACCTAGCTAATAACACTCTGGGGGAAATTTTAGATTAAGTAAATGCAGTAGGTGATGACGGTGGTGGTAGTTAACGCCTTTAAAAAACGTATTATCTGGGCTGGGGAGGTGGTTCAGATATCCTCTCTGGCCTGGCACATTCGCGCGAGCATGCACACCACACACACTAATTTGTTTTCCTTTGTTCTTTAAAGAACTCCTCTACGTGCTGTGCAGTCTTCTTCCAAATGCTATGAATGTAGTCATCTACTTTGATCTTTACAATAATCCACTAAACTGGTGCTACAAGTATTCCCACTTCCAGGAAAAACCGAGTAACGTGTCTAGTAAGGGATGAAGGCAGACATTCTGGACTAAGCAGCACAGACAGGGACTATGCGAGGGTAGAGGCGGGTCATGTCTAACAGTCAGTCAGTACCTTGGATAAAGGTCCAGGTAGAACTGTCCCAGCACTTCTCCGGTAGCTTTATCCTTCACAGTGTAAAGTGAAACGCTCTTATTCCAAACGTGAGCATCTGCCACTTGCTCAAACGAAAGTCCCAACAGCTCCTGGTAGATGCTCAGCAAGCCTTCTGTGACCACCTCGATGGGGAAGTACTCCTTGAGGAACTCCTGGTCCACCGAGTACAGGAGCTCCTCTGTCTGCGTCATGTAGTAATGGAGATCCCATGCATTGATCTTGCCATCGAATTCAAAACCTTGCTCTTCACATTCCTTTTTCTTCAAGTTCAGAATGAACTCCCGTTCTGCATCACCCAAGGGTTTTAATTTCTGGCTTAAATCATCTGTGGGGGAAATGGCAGAGTTAGTGATGCGTCCTTGGGAGGAAGCATGTTGACAAGGACTGTCAGTTTTGTGCATGGTCAGTCAGAGGAAAGAGACTGGCTGGGGCAGAGCACTCTTTCCTGGGTGATCTCCCCGGTGACTCTTCCCCCCCCCCTTTTTTTTGGTTGTCTTTTTTTTTTACACAACCAAAACCCAGTCATCGTTTCCTTCCAACATACAATGGTGAAGCTTACCTTAAGAACTTGACCCAGGAATGTTTTTAATTAATTAATGAATTTTTATTGCAACCTTCACAAATTTGTGTGTCATCCTCGCACAGGGGACATGCTAATCTCTGTATCATTCCAATTTTAGTATCTGTGCTGCTGAAGCGAGCACCTGACCCAGGAATATTACAGTTCAGCACAAAGCAATGGTAAACTAAGTGTGTGTGTGCCTATTCCTCAGTAAGCTATGTTCCTAAAACAACTCCTGGGAACTGCAGGCAACACCATCTAGAAGCCGCTCTGCACATTTGACAGTGGTTTGGCCTCCTTCCCCAAGCTCAGTCTGGGATTTACGGAGGAGGAGGATCTGGAGGTAGCAGCTCTAGATTTCACAATTTAATACTGAATTCAAATTCTGATCATCTGATTTAAAAGTGACTAAATAAGCTGTTCTGTACTTCTTTTCACAGTTTGTTAACTATGTAAAGATAAAGTCGTGCTTGGGTCTGTATTGGACATGGGTGTGAGATGGTGGCAGCTGCCCAAGAATGCTGTGAAGAGAGGAAGCTGAGCCATCCTCCTGGACAACACATCTCCCAGCAGTTACCCGTTCACATCTCTGTCCTTCCCCCAAGTGGAGACTCTGGGGAAAGGACCTCTTTTTATCCTGCCTGTGTTTCTACCTTTAGCATGAGGCCTTCTACTCCTAACCCAAGGTAGTTATTCCTAATGTCTCAGAAACACACAAACGAATCACAGGGTATCACTGATGGGGCCCTGTTTACAGGTTATGGTTCCAGCATATACACAAGTAAACTATGAAATGACTACTGAGAAAAACAGCGGAGTAAAATTTGGGCTAAAAGATAATTTCTTAGCCCATTTTTATCATTCTAGTTTTATTCTTTAGCTTATTGAGATAGGGTCTCACACCATGGCTCTCTGACTGGCCACTTGCTACGTAACTCAAGTTGGCCTCAAATTCATGGCATCCTCCTGCCTCAGCCTCCTGACTACTTGAATTACAGGTGTTTACCACCATGCCCAGTTTTTATTCCTTATTAATCATTTCCCACTTAAAAACAGAAGGAAATACTTTCGACATTTTCTTGAAGAATAAAGTAATTTTAGTAGCATCTTAAAGTCTGCTAGGTGTGGTAGCATATGCTTTTATCTCCAGTACTCAAGAGGTAGAGGCACCCATTTGTGCATTCTATGCATGCATATGGGCTCACATGCTTGTGGGCATGTGTGTGGAAGCCCAGAATTGAGTCTACACTTTGTTGAAGCAGGCCCTCTTAACTGAACCTAGCCTGCTTGCCCTACAGATGCCCCGCCTCTGCCTACTGAATGTGGGGATTATAGGTGGCCACCATGCTGGCCTGGCTTTCACGTGGGTTGGCGGCATTCTGTTCCAGTCCTCATTCTTATGTAGTAGGCATTGTACTCACTGAGCCATGAGCCATCTCCCTGGACCAGAAATCAGAGTTGTTACTATTTCTTCTTTGAGACAGGGTCTCACTATGTAGCTGAGGCTAGCCTAGAACTTATGACGTAGACGAAGCTGGCCCTGAACTCAGAGATCTGTCTGCATGCTGGGATTAAAGGCTGTGCCACCAGATCTAGGTAACCTTACTTAAAAAAAAAATGTAAGAAAAAAGACTTAAACTGAAACTGACAACAGTACTTAGGGGACACTTTTGATGAACTCTATAGAAAGTGGGCTTTGGTGGGTAGGTGCCAGTTTTTGTTTGTATATGCTGTTTTATTTTATACCATAGCTTCGGTTTATTTCATACACCAATCAGTAGCCACAGTACGGTTTCACAGACCAACTGGCAGTGAATAAAGGCCCTGAGCTAACAGTCTGTTTGTCCACACCCAATATGAGTAAAACAAAGAGTCATGTACCAACAAGATATGAGGTAGACAACCCCAGCAGCCTCAAGAACTGTGAGTTCATCTAAGGTAAGAGCAGATCAATACCCTTCTCCTGAAACCAGGATGCTCTCGAAAGCAGCTGAGGTGCCTAGCTGAACTGACGTTAAGGGATATTATACAGTAGATGTCATAGAGAAAACAAACAAACAAAAAAACAAAACCATACAACTGACCCTAAATAAATAAAGGACTGACCTAGAAAGGCTGCCACACGGCGCGTGCTCTTTGCAGTGTTCAGTTCAAGGACAAAGTCAGCATGGGTGTTGTAGCCGAGAAGTCTGGCCACTTGTGCTCGCAACGGGAGGAGCTGCTGCAGAATTGCAGTGTTTTCCTAGGAACAAGGACAACAAACGCAGAAGACCATCAACCTAATGCATGGCACTAGAACAGGCACACACTAGTGAGGCTGGGAGACCGTGAGATCGCTTCAGATCCTCAACTACGGCTTCCATTTCAGCATTAGGATAATTTCAAAATGTGGTATGGTATTCCTGAAATAATTTATAAAATGTATACTTTGGAGAGAGCTGTACATTCTTCATAAACTCTGAGGTGCTGTAAACTCGGGGTAAAAATATGCTTCATGCACTATTGTGATTTCTTACTTATTTTCTTCAATTATACAAGTGTACAGAATACTCATTACAACTTTCTGATGTGTTTGTGGAAAATTATACACAGCATAAAACACACCATTTTTACTTCACACCAATTTGTTTTGCTATCCTGTATCCACACATGGAAAATAATGTCCTGATAAAGATGGAGAGAAACTGGTGCCCTGGTGTACCGCTGACGAGAATGTAAAGTGGTCCAATGGCTCTACAAATATGGGAGTCTTCAAAAGATGCACAGGTTGGCTGGAACTAGAGCGGGATGGGCAGAGTGCTGCCTCACACTCACGAAACCTGGGCCTTGGTGCCCAGGACTACATGAACCAGGCATGGTGGCACATGCCCGGAAAGGTGGCCATGGGAGGTGGAGGCTGGAAGCTCAGGAATTCAAGATTCTCACTGGCTACGTACAGAGTTTAGGCCAGTCAGGACTATGTGACAGGCAGTCTCAACAAAACCAAACACCCCCAAACTACACAACTCCCCCTAAACCAAAAATAAAACTCCTACAGAATCATCATATAATCTCGACTATACTCTGGGCAAATATTTAAAGAACTGAAAGCAGACACACACTAGAGAACTACAGAACCTGTGTTCACAGACACACACTAGAGATCTACAGAACCCGTGTTCATGGACACACACTAGAGATCTACAGAACCTGTGTTCACGGACACACACTAGAGATCTACAGAACCTGTGTTCACGGACACACACAGATATGTATAGATACCTGTGTTCAAAGCAGCATTACTCAATAGTAAAACCAGGGAAACAACTCAAGTGCCTAGTGACTGAACAAGGGGTCAAGAAAATGTGGTATGTGCATACATTAACATGTAATTCACCCTTAAAAGGGATGGCATTCTGACATGCTTCGACATGGTAAACCTTTATGACGTGATGCTAAGTAAGTGCACGTCATGAGAAATGTGAGTTTCCTGCGCCCATCAAGTTTACAGACGTGGGAAGGACAGGGGATGGGGAGTTAGTGTGTTATGAATGCAGTTCCAGTTACAGAGCAAGGAAATGTCCTGTGGATAGGTGTTGTGATGGTTCCAGAACAATGTACATACACTTAATTCCACGTGCTGCTGTCTGAAGGGTCCCCTAAAATATGCTGAAAACTAATTAGTGTTGCTGCAGTCCTAAGAGATGGGACCTTTTAGCACTAACCTCCTGAACTGATCAGAGGCTCACAAGAGAACAAGAAGAAACCAGTTTAGGTTTTTTGCCTTGTGCCCATGATTTAAAAAGGGTCTTTCCTTCTTCCCTGTGAGCACACAGCATCTTGGATTTCCTGTCTCCAAAATCATGAAAAATAAATCCCTATTGTTTCTAAGTTATCCAGCCTACAGTATTTTGTTTAAATAGATTGACATACCATGGCATTTTATATTGAAAACTGTTTTTATAGACTTTCCTCAACATAGTTCCTATTTGGTATCTGTATACTTAGGAATACCACACCACACAGATACACACATACATATATTTTACTTCTTTTTGAGACGAGGTCTTACTATGTGGCCCTGGCAGGTCTAGAATTCACTATGTATCCTCTTTGTGGTGTAGTTACTTCCTGTCACCAGCTCTGGACATCACATGCAGAAATGAACACAACTTGTTTGCTTTTATCTGCTCTATTTTTACCACAACAGTCCAGCTTGTGGCACACCAAGCAAGCTGACAGCGAAGCCATGAAAAGGCTAACAGTCTTACAGGTGTGTGGAATTAGTGAAGGCAATGCTCATGCAAACAGGGGTATCAGTAAATGATATTGATGTCGGTAAACGAAGTACGTCTTTTCCTTGATATCTTCAATTAGGATCAAAATAAAGACATCTATGGTACCTGTCTGCACCTCATATGAAAAGCCATTTCCATCTTCCTTCTTGTTTCAGGGACACAACACTTCTTCATGACAGGAAAATAGTGGGGATACTTTAGGGTGACTTTGTACTTGTCATCACCGGCTTTTTCTAAACTGTCGATGAAGTCATCAGGAAGAGCACCTGCGAAAAGCCATTTTCTCATCAATAAACTTCCCACACATTCTGGCTCACAGAGCATGGGCACAGTGCTTTTAGGCAGCTCGAGGGATCTTCTGTGGTAACTGAAATCCAAGTTAGAGGACAACTGTATGGTCTTATTTGGACTGTCCTGGAATGGGGGAGGCACTGATGGGCCAGGTGGCTCAGGAAATGACAATTTGAAACAAATGTTTCAGGGCACCTGTGCAGATGGTATTTTAACAGGCAAAATTAAGCCAAAAAATAAAAGACCCCAGAATAAGAGACTAGTTTACAGTGTTGGAGACATGGAGACACAGAAAAACTGTCAAGGTTTGAAGGCTATTAAACAAACACCAGTGTAAATTACTAAGAAAGATTAACCATGTGGGTGCTGGAAATCAAATCTGGGCCCTCGGTAAAAGTAGCCAGTGCTTTTAACTGTAGACCATGCCTCCAGCCCCAATACTAAACAATTTTTAAAAGAATTCTTTGGATTTTAATTTAGGTTGGAATCTGCAAGGTGATAAAATCTAATGTAGCAAAACAACAAAATTTTACCAAGTTCAGCCTTGGAAAATACAAGGAAAGTATCGTCCTCA